GTCACATAGTTAGCATATTAGGCTAAAATATTGAAAAGGTACTTCGTTTTCTGAAGTAAAATATGTTCTCCTGAAAGTGCTGCACTATTTTCATGCCAACTATATATTTTAACAATAAAGCTGTTATGCATATCTACGCAAAGATTAATCATAACTTTTCCAGTTGTCAGCAGCAATGTTATAATCTAGGTGGCATGTTTACCTTTACTTTTGCCGCATGTCCCATTTCCATACTTTTGTTATCAGTCCATGCATAGGATACCAATGTGTAATACAAAGCTGATCTTTAGACAATAAACGTAGTGAATTGACTGAAACGCCTTTTTCAATCGTCCATCCTTTGAAATATCCAAAGAACTTATCAATTTCCTCTTCTTTTATTACATCTTATCAGCGTGGGCGCTTTCCTGTGTCATTCTTCTATTGAGTTGCTCCTGCAAACATTACGTCCGTTCACTGTTTTGCATAACCAGATTGTGTTACGCTTGGTAACGTTGGCCATGCTACTTTTCGTCCAAAAATTCTCCTTTTTTTCCACTTTCATTTGTGCCTGCATCTCACTGGACAAAATATATTCCATTTTTATTCGACCATACTTTTTCCATTTCTAGGGTAATGGTATCTCCTTGGATAGCTGTTATCCCTGTGGTTCTTGTAATTATCACTCTAATACTATTCCTTGTTCTATATTTCTCGACTCCATCACGAAGAAATTTCTGCTTAAAAAAGAAACATGCTGTTGTAACTGGTAAGTGCTAATCTACCACCATTTATCATAACATATTTGAAGAGTTTATGCCGTGGGGCCTAGGAGGAAACATCCAGAATTGTTTGTCATAAGCAGAGAATTGAAGTCATACAGAATGTAGAGAAAATAAAGGGAAAAAGTTTTTTCTCAGTATTCCTAAGGTTTTTGATCTTGCAATAAATAATTTTCTCCTGAATCTTTTTTCAAATATAGAGGAATTTTTGGGGGCAAATTATGTATCTTCCGCCATAGAAAATCTCCTTTATGTTTGGAAAAGAAATTCAAGAGGAATTTAGATGCTTGCAGACCACTTTTCATATCAGAGTGAGATTAAGAACTACTAAGAGATGTTCTGCAGGGCGAAGTGAGAAGTATCAAATTCAATGATGTAGAAGTTACCTACCCCTTCTCTAATGGTGATTTGCTTTACAATGCTATTTTTGTTTGTTTTTTTAAGAAAAAGGAAATTAATGTGGACCTGCGAAAATCCCAACTTGAGTAACATGGCACCATGTTTTAGAG